GGAAAATTGGGGAGGGGGCCCCCCCCCCCCCCCCCCTTCAATACAGGCGACCTTTTGGGTCCGCCCGGGAAAGGGAAGTTTTCCAAGTTGGGTGCATAGACCCGGGGTGCCCCCCCCCCCCCCCCTCTCCTCCCCGACACTTCCACGACCCTCCGGGAGCAGGAACGGGAGTGCCGCCCCCCTCTCCCTCACCCTCCCCGGCCCCTCTGCCCGCCCGCGCCGCGCAGGTTCTCTCGCTCCGACGCCTGTCCCAACTGCAAGAGCAGCGTCTGCCTCGAGGCCGACGGCGGGGACGACGGCGAGGGCGACGCCGCCCTCGCTGCAGGCGTGGGCTTGCGGGGCGAGTGAGCTGCTCGCTCGCGGGCGTTTGGTCTCGTGGCGTGGAGCAGACCACGCGACATATGGGTGTATGGCTCCGGGTGGCGAGACGCGGCGGCGGCGCGGGGACGGGGGTGTCGGGCTCGGGGGAGCGAGCGCGGGCCGCGGCTAGCCGCTGCACAGTGGGCTCGCGGTACGATGCTACCTGCCGTATAAGACGTGTGTATACTCTCCGGTGTATCTGCGAGAACACGTCTCGCCGTACAAAGACCTAAAACCGTCTAAATATGCCTGCTCGCGTCTCTCAGACATCAGTGCCACCGCAGCTCATTCAGCCTGGCTGCGACCCAGTCGAGGCTCTCCGGCTGCAATCCCTCGTCACCGCCGCGCTCCCACTCGAAGCTCACCTCGTACAAGGCGCCGGGATGCACGGGCTCCCTGTCGGAATATTCCTCCTTTTAGCCCCCCGCTACCCGGTTGCACTCGTGCGACGTAGCGGGGGGCCACAACTACGTTTACGAAAACATAAGTAGTCCCGCGAGGTGTGAATTGGCCGCCCCAGTAGCCCCCATTTCCACTGGAAGCGCTTTTCGTGGCAAACCCAAAGTTGCGCTGCGCGCGAAGCCGCTTTTGAAAGCGGAAACGAATCTCGTCCTACCTCCCACCGGCCCCACCGGCTTTTCGTCGCCCATGCTCGGTCTCGACTTGAGTGCCGCTCGACTGGCCGATGAAGAGCGACCCGTACGACGCGCACTTGTCGTCCTCCCTCCTCGCCACATGACGGCCGCCCCCCGACACCAACAGTCGCGCTCCGCACGCCTTCAAGGTCAGCTGCGGCCAAGCGACGATTGGCTCGCTCCGATCGCTGGGCGCGGTCACTCACCGGCCCATCACCCGTCTGCCGATCACCTGTCCGCCTCGCCGCGCGCGGGCCGCTCGCCTGCTCGCCACTGCCGCCGCGCGTCCCCGCGCCGCCACGCTTCCCTGTGCACCTGACCGCGCTCGAGCAGCGCAGACGGCGCGCGCTCTAGCAGACAGAGCAGCGGCCGCCCAGGCGGTCGCTGCTCCGCCCCGTCCGAATCCGTCCGCCCGCGCGTGCCGCTGCCGCCGCCGCCGCCGCCACCGCCGCCGCGCGTCCCCGCGCCGCCACGCTTCCCTGTGCACCTGACCGCGCTCGAGCAGCGCAGACGGCGCGCGCTCTGGCAGACAGAGCAGCGGCCGCCCAGGCGGTCGCTGCTCCGCCCCGTCCGAATCCGTCCGCCCGCGCGTGCTGCTGCCGCCGCCGCCGCCGCTCCACCCGGTGCCCGTGTGTCGTGAGTGAGAGTTGCTTTGTGTATGTGTGTATGTCGTATATGTGTGTGCAGTGTGGACTTGTGTCACACTTGAGCCTCGATCTATGATTAATAGACCGGGCTCGGGTTCGGATGGTAGCGGGGGGCCCCGCCGGAGGCTGGTTACTGATCGGATACGAGCGAATCAGAGGACGATCCTTCATATATGACTCTTCATCTGAGCTCTACGAGTCGTCGAAAGCGGGAGGGCCGTTCGTGAGCTGTCGGTGACTCGCCTTTTAACGGCCCGTCCCTGCGTGGGGTTGTGCGCGAATGCGTTTAACAGTAAGTACAAAGAACGTGACCGCCGCCTAGCTTACGTGACCGCCGCCTAGAGCTTACGATGGCATCGATGTGGGTGTGCGTCACCGCCGTCAGCCGTCACCGCTGCACACTGGGTCAGCCCCGCCCTCCACCATCCTCCCACCTCGTCCGCATCCCTTCGAGATCGAATCCCCCCCCCCCCCCCCCCCAGCGTAAGAATATCGGGCGCACAGACAACCCCGCCACCTCACTGCCCCGGCGACCACACCTCGATCTTCTTTGGCAGCAGCTGGTTCGACAGGTCCTCTCCGTGGCCCAGGCGGCCGCTTTCGCCCAGGCCCCAAGCATAAACAGCGCCATCGGCGGTGATGGCGAGACTGTGGTCGCCTCCAGCCGACACAGCGACGACATGCTGGCCAGCAAAGGCCTCGATCTTCTTGGGCAGCCACTGGTGCTGCTCGTCGCCGTGGCCCAACCGGCCAAAGATTCCACTGCCCCAGCTCCAGACGGCGCCGTCGGCGGTAATGGCAAGGCTGTGCAGACCTTCCGCCGACACAGCGACGACGCCCCGCCCAGCCAACGCCTCCACCTTCTTGGGCAGAGGCTTGCGCTGCTCGTCGCCGTGGCCCAACCGGCCAAAGGCTCCAGAGCCCCAGCTCCAGGCGGAGCCGTCGGCGGTGATGGCGAGGCTGTGCTCGAAGCCAGCCGACACAGCGACGACGCGCTGCCCAGTAAAGGCCTGGATCTTCTTCGGCAGCAGCTGGCGCTGCGTGTCGCCGTGGCCCAGCTTGTCAAAGCCTCCACCGCCCCAGCTCCAGACAGCTCCGTCGGCGGTGAGGGCGAGGCTGTGATCTTCCGCCGAGACAGCGAC